TCATCTAATTGGTAAGGTTTGAGAACATTTCTCCCTGGTTTTATTGCATAATTCTCTTTATCAAGTTTCCATGAATTGCAAATACAGTCATCAGGTAACCCTACTGAGATACAATTTAAATTTGTACTTTTCACTCTCATGACTCAGTCATCTTGTATTCTTTTACCTGTCTCTTTCTCTCTCTTTTTTTTTTCCTTTTAAATGTCAAATTGCAATCCAGGATATTTCCCTCATCAAACTCAAACATCTGAGGCAAAACACTTCTGAATCTATTGTTGAAAAAGTCCAGGAATCAGAAGAACTATTATTTGATATTGTTTGATAATCGGCTCTCACTGTTTATTAGAATTCACAGACTTTGTTCAGAGATTTAGAGTGATAAAGAGACTTCTCAGGAAAATGATGTCCAATGACTGAAAAAAATACACTGGGAAACAAAGCCCCATGGAAAAATCAGTCCACCCTTGGGTCATATATCTGGATATTTTCCTTTCCTACATTTTCCTACTGAGCCAGCTATTGACATTAGGCTCAGTGACAGACAAAGCCAGGTACAGACATTTTTTTCTTTTGTATTTAGGTAGAAGCCACATGATGGCGACAATGAAATAGTGATAAAGGTGGCAGAGTGTAGATTTCAAGGAGAAACCAACCTCAGTGTCATTTAACAAATAGTTTTCAGTGGAAGACAATTGCAAATTACCTTTTGTTTATGTTTTCATAAGGAAGGCTTTGGTTATGTTTTCATGAGGAAGTAGGAGAGTTTAATTTTGTTTTGTATAGGTTTTATTAATACATGTTTGCCGCTCATGCAGTTTACAATCATCTTGGGGAGTGGTTACAGGCACATTTTATCGCTTGTCCTGTTCACGCCCCCGCCTCGGGTTCTCCTGTCCCCATTTTCAAACTTGGCATCATTTGTCTTCGCTCACGTTATGGCGCACAGCGTTCGCGTTAACTGAGGTTCTGACGTTCCTGTACATGCACATCTTTCTTCCTCTCATTTCTGCTTTCCCTCTTCCTCGCCCTTTGCCCTTGTTCCCCTGGACCACATCCCTATAGAAAGAGATCCATTCCCTTACCCTCATTCTGACCCTGCTCCCTTTCTAAGTGATGCATTACATTTATTGACTTGCACATGTTGAACCAGCCTTGCATCTCTGGGATGAAACCTACTTGATCATAATGTATCAGCTTTTTGACAGTGTGCTGCCTTCTGTTTGCTAATGCCTTGTTGAGGATTTTTGTATCTGCGCTCATTAAAGAGATTGACCTGTAGCTCTCTGTTTTAGTTGGGTCTTTGTCTGGCTTGGGCATCAGGGTAATACTGTCTTCCATAAATGAATTTAAGAGCACCTCGTCCATTTCCATTTCTTTGAAGAGCTTGAGTATTGGTGGTATAACATCCTTAATGGTTTTGTAGAATTCAGCAGTGGATCCAGCGGGTGCTGGGCTTTTTTTAGTTGATAGATTCTTTATTACTGAATCAATTTCATTGCTTGTTATTGGCTTGTTAAGCATACTTATATCTACTCGAGTTAGTTTTGGTAGTTTGTATGTGACTAGGAATATGTCTGTTTCTTCAAAATTCACTATTTTGTAGGAATATAACTTTTCAAAAATAGTTACTATCATCCGTATTTCCACAGTGTCTGTTGTGATTTCATGTTTTTCACTTCTAATTGCATTGATATGATTCTGTTCTATTTGTCAGTCGGGCTTATCTATTTTATTTATTCTCTCAATTCATTAATTTTTTTAAGTTTTTTGTCTCAATTTCATTGATTTCTGCTCTCATTTTTATAGTTCTCCTCCATTAATTTCAGCTTGTGCTGAAATTCATTGTTTAGCTAGTTTTTTAAGATTTCTGCTAAGATTACTTGAACTTGCTGTGTTTTCCTAATGTGAACGTTGATTGTGATCAATTTTCCTCTTAGGACTGCTTTCATAGTATTCTAGAGGTTTCATTGATTTGTACAGTCATTATCATTATTTTCCAGAAAGTGTTTTTAAAGTTTTCTTTGATTTCTTCTGTGGCACATTATTGAGAAGTATGTTCTTGAGAAACAATGCAGTATTTAAACATATGTGTCCAGTTCATTTCACTTAAGAGTATGGTCTCCATACTGCAAGAGACTGAAAGTGTAAATAAGATCTAAAATGCATAAAGCACATTGGGAAATGGGAAGAAAATGTTCAAATGAGAAGGGAAACAAGGGAGAGGGGAGAGGGAGAGGAAAGAAAGGACAAGGGAAAAATAGAAACAATGCTTCTGTAAACAAGGAGGGGAAGAGGGGTTAAAGGGAGGGGGGATGGGGAAAAGAGGAAGTGAGATATGCCATGTGCATGTCCAGATTCCCTGTGATGAATGCTATCATTGTGTATATCTAAAATGTACCAATAGAAAAAGGAGTACATTCTTCATTTTCGAGCTTTTGCCTTTTCAGAAATTTCTTATGTCACTGAAATTCTGTTTTCATTGCACAGTGGTCTGATAGTATGCATGGGATGATTTCAATTCTTTTATATTTACTTAAGCAGGCTTGATGGACTAGTATGTGATTTATTTTGGGAGAAGTACCATATGCTGCTGAAAACAATGTATGCTTTGTTGTAGAGGGGTGGAGTACTCTGTATATCCAGTAAGTCTATATGTTCAACAGTATGGTTCAACTGTGATATTTCTTCATTGGTTTTTGGTGTAGTTCATCTGTCTCTTTGCAATAGTGGGATGTTAAAATCCCCTACTATGGTTATGTTAATATTTATATGATATTCTATTTCAGCGGATTTGGGTTTATGAAGATAGGTGCTCCAGTGCATATATATCTATCAGTGTTTTCTCTTCTTGTTGGATTGTCCCTTTAACTAATATGAACTGACCTTCTTTATCTCTTTTAATCAGAAGAACTTGCAGTTTACCATTTCTGATATTAGAATTGCTACCCTTGGTTTTAGGATCCTGGTGCATGAAATGTTTTCCATCCTTTAATTATTAGTTTATGAATATATTTTTGGAATAGTTTCTTGAGTGCAAGATTGTTGGATTCTGTTTTTTGATCCATTCTGCCACTGTGACTTTTTTTTTCGCTATGTGACTTTTAATTGGAGTATTGAGATCATTAACACGGAGAGATATTACTGACATGTGTTGGTTATTTACTATCATTGCCTTCTTTATCTTTTGGTATAGTTTGTTTTTCTTTTCCTGGTGTCTTTTGTTCCTGTTTATCAGTTGTCCTCACTAGTTTCCTCTGTGCTTTTAGCTGTGTTCTGTCAAGAATATTATTGAATATTTTCTCTAGAGCTGATTTAGCACTCGTTTATCTTCTGAGCTGGTGTTTTTCATGAAAATACCTTATTTTATATCTATCTTGAAGGATAGCTTTGCTGGGTAAGTTAATCTTGTTTGGAAGTTATTTGCTCCTAGGGCCTATAATACTTCACTCCAACCTCGTCTGGCTTTCAGGGTTTACACTGAATCTGTTGTGGTTCCAATTGGTTTACCTTTATAAGCATTTTTGTTTTGCTTTTCTGACTATCTGAGTTTAATGAGCATATGCCTTGGTGAAATTCTCCTTTCATCAGAATTGTTTGGTGTTCTATAAGCATCACTTACCTGTATTTTAAACTCATTATAGTTGGGAAGTTTTCTTGCATGATTTTTTGTGAGAATGTTAGTGAATCTGTCTGTGCTGTTTTCTGCAATGTATAAATTCTATGATTTTTTTTATTTTAGTTATTTCTGTCTGACATCTTTTCAAGGATTCCATTTTCTTGTTGAATCTGTCATTCAAATTTTGAACTACTTTGGTAAGCTTGCCTAGTTTTTTTTACCTCTCCCCAAATTTACCAAGGGCATCTTGAGCATAATTTGCTGTAATCTCTTGGTTCTTCTTTGAACTCTTCTATTTTCTTCATCCCTTTTAATAACTTGTCATAGATTTCTGCTACCTGATATTAGTTTTCTTCTCCCTTTGTGACCCTTTGCTCTGCCTTAGGGGAGTTGAGGGAGTTTGGAGATCTTTAATTTCCTTTTTTCGTCATTTTCCTACTTGTATCTGTGTTTATTTGTTTTATATATATTTAAATTATATATATGGACCTTTTTAGTAGGCTATTACCTCCCTGTGAATAACTTTCAGCTTTATGTTCAGTTAGTTCTATTATTTATTTTTTGTTATTTACTTGAAATGATTTTGACTCTGTCCCTGTGTCTTGCCACAAGAATTACCTCATTTCCTTACAGCATCCACAGATTCGATCTTAAAAACGCTTCATGTGTGATAGTCCTTACAGTTACTCTTTTCCTTTCTGTTGTCTGCACACCGTGACTCTTTATTATTTGTCATTGCTCTGCAGTGAGGTAGGTGAGAGAGGGTGGGGAGTGTTTGGATGAGTAGCGGTCAGCACCAAGGGGGAAGCTTGAAAGGGAGACTGGCAGTAGATGAGAAGAAAAGATCGATGCCTGGTCTGATTTTATGGGGCTACTTTTAGTTGAGTTGAAGATTTAGTATTGAGACTTTTCAGATTTGTGGGGCAAGAGTGAGATAGGGGCGAAGGGTGTTCATTTTGTGTTTGGGGAAAGCTGTGTGGTTATCAGAAAGCACTTGGTTGTAGGGAGGGCGGTAAGCTAAGTAAGACATGGAAGAGCCAAAGGCATAGGAGGGGAGGATGGAGGAATTGTACTAGTAAAGATATCTGAGGGGACCAAATATGGTGAATTGAACAACTTGGGAGGAGGCGTTTACGTGGTTAGAAAAAGAATAAAGAAATATGTTAATAATCTTGTCTCAGCGGATTGAGGTGAAGAAACCAGATAAAGAGCTGAGACAAGGGATAGAACCCAGACCCTGATTAAATCAGCACCAGTGAAAGAACAAATATACAAGTGTAACAAACTAATCAACACATGAAGTCATAAAAGAATGTAACATAACCCCTTTACTAAATAAAAAAAAAATCAAACCAGTAAGATGTTTGATGGGAACACAGATTACATATTCCAGTGAGACACTGCATATGTAATTTCCAAATAGCTCCTTTGCCAGAGGGTGTAAGTGCTCACACCCCGATAGCTCCTCTGGTCTCTCCACAGCAACAGTGAACTTAATTCAAGGCTCAGGACCTCTTTCTGCCAGGTTGCAGGTATTCTTGCAGAGTCTGATCCAGTCTCAATTCTTCAGTTAGGAACTCTTGCTGTCCGTCTCCCTGGGTGGATTCTGATGCTGAATTGTCCAGAGTCAGGATTATTCCTGTGCAGTCAGTTCACCTACAGCAGTAACAGGCTAGTCCGTTACAGTGGTATCTGTCAGGGATAGATAAGAAATAACAGAGCATCAGACCCCTTTTGAGTCTCCCTTTAGCCTTGAGAACACGGTGCCCATGTGAGCTTCCAATCCTGTGTAACTGAAGGTGAAACTAGCGTCTGGCCACAGGAACTGAGTCTGTGATCACCAGGGCCTGCGTTCAGTGGGACTTCCCAGAGTCTGCTGTCCAACTGCTGAGCTTCCTGTGGCTGTCCTTCCTCATCCACACTGGGAACTTGGCAGGGCGAAGCAAACAAGGTGCTGCCCTGGGGCGCAGGTTCAAACACACAGCCCTTCCCTGCAGTGGTTTTCCCTCCAGCTCCTGCTCCGTGCCTCCCTATCCTTGAGCACTTGTACAGCAGTCACTCACCAACTGTGGAGCCTAGAGGGCTCTCAGGAAGCAGTGGCTCTCCTTCCTCCTGCCATCTTCAACTGCTTAAGACTCCCCTGGTCCTGTTACAGTTCCCCATGAGCAGAGAAATTGTTTCCCTTTGCCTATTGGCTGGCAACTAGCCCGCTGCTGTCAGCAGCACTGTGGTTTCTTCACTATGGCATGGCCATGTCTTCTGTATCCCTTGATCCTATTTTCTTCCCTCTGTCAGTTTTCTTGTGGTTCTTGTGTATCCTCCTCTCACTTCGGTTCCTCTTCAAGCTATTGTTTTCTGGACTCTAGACACTTTGTCCTGGAGAAGTCGAGTTGCTGGCACTCACTGGTCTACCATTTTGTCTCCCCCTGGCTTTTCCTGACTTAGGCTTTAGATGTCTCCAATACTGAAAGTATGGTAACCTGGACTTGACTTCTGAAAGTCATCCATCTCTTATGTATTTGTGTATAATACTGCATAATGTATACTGCTGACAAACATAAACACTACATGCACTTATTTATTTATATGAGTCATTTTTAATGCATATCTTTAAAGTTATTTCATTATAGCCAGACTTTATAACCAGCATTGATGTCAAAAAACATAAGGCATCTTTTGTGGATTTTAACTCTAAACCTCTGTTGAAATTTGAGAGGCAATATAAAGGGACTTGAAAAGTGGCACACTTCCATAACTGTTACACATCTGCTACATTGGCTTACAAATGTCCGTCTTAACCTGAGCTGTCTCCTGGGGTCTTTCTTTTTGATCTTCTCACAAAGCCTCTGAGGGAGAATCACCCCCATGATAAAGGATCACACTGTGTGCATCTCAGCAGAGGAGGTGAAGTACCAATGTGAGAGCATTCCTGCCTAAAGTGCTTTTTTTTTTTTGTTAGCACTGGCTCAAGATTGGTCAAAGAAAGAGATTTTTATCAAGTGCTCCCTTCTCAAGTTTTGTGTAAGTGCCAGCACAGTCTTCTGGTAGCAGATCTTTAGAGATATTGAAGAAAGAAAAAAAAAGAAAGAAAGAAAGAAAGGAAATTCAAAAGAAGAGGAGAAAAAAACTAACACTTATTTGAATATTGTAGTTCCAGGAATTTTGAATGTAAATCAGCAATGACAAATTATACATTAGAGGTGACCAGAAATTTTTTTTGTCATTCATGTTTGAGTAAGTTAAGATGAATAATATTTTGCTCTTTCTATTAGGCTGATAAAAGTTTTGACCTAGATGTTACACAGAATTGCTCCTTGAATCATGGGTGAATTTCACAATGAATTCTTCATCTTGCAATGAACACACTGTATCCTCCAGCATAATGTATGACTGCAGCTGTAAGGATACAAACCTCTTAAAGGACATGTCACCTGCTTCCTTTAGGTGTTGGTATAAAGATGAGGTGAGAATTAAGATTGAATTGATGAGCTAGTGCATAATATAGTGTTAGAGTCTAAAAATAACTGTGTTCCTTCTCTGTATGTGCATATATATTCTAAAGAAGAGGGAAAAATTTCCTTCTGCCTTCTAGGAGTTTGAGAATTTAGTCTTTGACATAAGCTCACACCAGGCAGATTAACAGGAGAAGTGATAAGCAAATGTACATGGGCACAGCAATATCATATGGCAAATACGAATAACTGAGAATAACAAATAGGTGAAATGCCAAAAAATCATGAATTATAAGCTCTGCTTTTTGGAGAGGGGAAAAAAAAAAAACAAACAAAAAACTGCAGCTTCAAGACCAGCCTTTTTCCCTTCCAGGAAACTCATTCCAAAAAAAATTCCTAAAGGTCCTTTTCACCTGTAAATTGAACTTCCTCCAACTCCAAAGATATACCTATCCTTTTTACCTATAAATTGCACTTCCTCCACTCCCTAAAAAGCAGCAATTTTGGCAGGCAGCATTTCCCAACTTCCAGCACATACAGGTGGCTCCTGTTTTAATCTGACAGATAGTACGAATACACATGTAATATCACGAAAGACACCTCTTAGCTGTGCCCCACTCCCTTTTATAATGCACTTCGTTTCTCTGAGCACCCACACTCCACTTTCTTAGTAAATCTTATTAAACCCTTTTGATGTCTCTTTTACTGGCAGGTCCTAAGAATTCTTTTTCCATAACAAGAGTCAGCAAACCTACGCATTTATTTTAAAAGGGGGGAATATCTTCCTTATTTCAGCCTGAGGAACCTCAGAGACCAAACCTGGCGACATAACCAAACCCCAAGGAGATCTAGATATGTCTGCATCCTATTTGGAGTGGGTAGGAGAGAGGACGTAGGCAATCTAGGGATGTGTATATACTTTGGTGAGAAGAAGACAAATACATTACCACCCACGACAGAGTCTCTGGGTGTGGGGCTCACTTCCGTCTCCTCTCCTTTGATAGGACTTACTTTTCCCTGGCTGATGAGATTCTTAGAAAAGGAATCCATGACTCTTGAGTTTCCTTCACAGGATCTCTCCCTAGATCGATAAAGGGAGTTCAGAGGCCCTGCCCCGCCTTTGGTGTCCTTCAGTTGCCCTTCGTTTGAAGTGAACAACATATCAGTGTGGCATATTTTGGGGTAGCTTCTCCTGGATTCCTTCAATACAGATGCACATGTGCGTGCATTGTGTATACGTGACTGCTTGTATCAGAAATGTCAAATGTATAAAGTAAATGGTAGGCAGAACACTTAACCCCTATCTGTGATATGCCAGTCATCTGGATAAAGTTTAAAAATTAAAACTCCCAGTAGCATTGTCTACAGATGCCATCCTCCTGGAAACATCTGTACCTGGGTATGCTCGTGAAGGAAATTTTTTTCCCACATTTTTATGCCATTTTTAGAATTGAATAAACATAAGCTTATGTAATAAAATATTTACATTATAAAATAGAAATCCTAAAACAAAGGAGTTGAACAATGATCAAATATGACAGAATTGCAAATGGGTGCCTATAAAAACATGTGGACAATTAACTTTTCCTTCCATTTGGGAAAGTGAATGGTTGATAGCTGATAGTAATAGGCATGAAATGTGGAAAAAAAGATGTGGCGATAGCACATTTCTCATAATCAGGAAGTCAGGAAGATTCTGCAAGTTCTTAGTAAAAACAAAACCCAAGCTAAAACAGATATTTGAATTAAGACTTACATTTATCTTCTGTGAATTCTGAGCTCCTGACTCTTTGTGATCTAGCCTTCGCCCATCATTTTGGCAACTCCTCTACATCTCTTTCTCATTTCTAGCCCAAGCAAATCACTTGAGAACTCCAATCAAGGTATTTTGCCTAGAAAAATCCTCCCTTACACATCTCCCCTTCCCAAGCATCATGTACTGGTTAATACTCCTGGTTGGCTGAGTCCCACTTCCAGGCTCCTGTGTAAACTTAGTCCTACCACATATTAAAATTGTTTGTCTTCTCATGTGCCAATCTCATGCATTTTCAGCTCCTTGAGTGAACGTATACCTTTAGTCGTTCTTCATATTTCCTAAGAATTTACCCCAAGAATTCTATTAACATTAAAAACAAACTGTCCCCCTTATATAGTAACAATTTGAATGCATACAGTCAAGAAGTAATAGTAGCTGAACCTACTATATTTACCTCCTTTGTAATAGGAATAAAAGGTATTAACCAGCATAACTCAGAATTTGAATGTGCAACCACTGGGCTGAGAATTTCCCAGAGACAGCATAAAATTAACTCGCTATTTTAATTATCATAATTGCATTCAGATTCATCATGAAATTACTGTGCTACTTCAGTTTCTAATGAGAGTTAAGAACATTTTTAAAAGCTCTATTCAGTCAAATTGACTGTGTATTGAACTTTAAATTGTGACATTGGTGGCAGGTTAAATCTGAGGGCAGAGAGCAGATTCCATTCCATGGGGTACAGTTACTGCCACTTTGCCAGTGCACAGCCAGTCTGTAGTTTGCTTTTATGTTGTCATTACTGCTTTTTGGAGAAGCCTTGGCAATATTTTACTTTTCTGTAATTGCTCAAATCAATCACTCTCAGGCTAATAGTTGCTGCTTGGTCAAAGTGCAGGGTGAAGGTCAAGATGAAAAATGTGTAGCAGTAATGATACTGACCAATTTGTTCTTTATTCTATTTTTTGTCTAACCTTCTGTTTCCTTGCCAGTAAAATCAAGTAAATTGGGGAGGAAAGTGATGCTTTTCTACTGTGCTGCCTCTAAATAAAAGGTTTGCTAGAAAAGAAAAACTTTCTCACTCTTGACTGAAATGATCAAAGATTTTAGAATCTGATTCATTAACTCTAGACTATCTTTTTCATGTATCCATTCATTCATACTTATTCATACATCTACACGTATTTTTGAAATGTATAAAAGACTGCAGCAATGAAAACTAAGGTCCAGATTAGGAGTTCTACAAAGGTAGAAAGTAACAGAAATATTATGTATTAAACTTAATGTTAGGGTTTATAATCCCGGAAAGAACTCCTTTGAGAGAATGATCTATGTAGTGAATACTTGTCATTATATATAGTTTTTGTGTAGTAGTGGCTAATAATTATGGAGAAGTAGAAAAAAACTGTAATAAAAATAGTATAAAATGTGGTTTTTCTATAAAGTGGAATATTACTCAGCCATAAAGAATGAGGAATTAG